GGCGCAGATTCTCGCAGAAGCAGAAAGCAACTTGAAATCGTCGATTCGTGTTGAGTGACACCGTTAAAACCTGTCAGCTGGAAGTGGCATCGACGATTGGCCGACACAGCATGCACTGTAGTCGCCGTGTGGCCCGTAGTTTTGGGTGGTAAGGAGAATTACTGTGTTATATGTCGGTCTCGTTCTGTAAACGTAATACTGCTCCTTAGAACGACAAAGTATCGTTCGTCGTAGCGCTTGACACCTTAAGGGCAGACTGAAGATCGAAACAGAAATATGCACTAACATAAGTGCCCTAGGGTAGACGCGCCGTCCTGGCACCAGGCCAGGGGCGGGCGAACAGAAATACCGCCAAGGCAACACAGGAACACAAGAGACCTAAAATGTTGACAACGTCGAAGGCGAGTTTATTAGTGTGTTTCCCGGCTTTGCGTCCGCCAGCAGGGATGGCCGAGAAGGAGACTTTCCAGGTCCTGGTATTGTGCACATAAAGGGCGATCGATGGGGAAAGGGGCCATCGAGTGAAGCAAAATCGGGGGCGAGTAAGGAGTCCAGAGTGGAAGGAACGACGGACGATACACATCAGACGACGGCTACAGAAGTTCGGAGACATCGTAGATTAACGGCAAAGTAATTACGAGTGAGAAGCGGAGGACAAGCGTATTGCGACAACAACTGTGAGAACGGGGTCCAGAGCCTAGTTCAACCTGGGTAACTTGCCGTATGAAGCAAGAGAAAGAAAAGTGGACCTGCTGCGACTCCTGCCCCACATCATCGCCCCCAAAACGGATCACAGCTTTGGCACATCTCGCCCACAGGCCCCTGTTCTCCATTACCGTTTCGTGCTAGTGCTGCCAACGTGTTCAGCCAGAGCGCAAGAGCTGTCTGTTGCTTCTGTTGTGTCTGTCGTGTTTTTGAAAGAGTGCGTGAAAATGATGCTGAAATGAGAGACAAAGTGCTCCGTAGCTGCGTACACGCTTCGACGTATACCTGGCTGTTCCTCAGTCGTGCCTGCCTTCCTCTACGGGACGTATCCGCACCGTATTTGGCAGTTACTTGTTTCCCGTTGCTCTCATATCGGTTACTGAGTGATCAGCTTCCAAACCGAGGACCAACCTCGAAGCTACAACATTTTACGACATTGCATTTTGAATTCCATTTTACAGCATTTCGTTTCACCAAACTTCACTAGCATCCCCCCGCCCCCAACTCTACTTACCCAGTCCCAGCTTGCCCAGGAACAGGACCCTCTTTGTACGCTACCCATTCACCAATCTCCCCCTCCAGTGGCCGCACTAAGCTGCTCCTGTCCTGTCGTAATGACCAGGCCTGGGCCAGGCCCCCCTCTCCCCTCTCAGAGCAAACCCAGGAAATCCGAAGACTCCCAGGACATACCCAAGAAATTTCGTTCGGGACCGGAGCCGTTTTTGCTTTTCATTGCGACGTGAGCTCCGCACGACGACCTACGACGTGCTGCATATTGAGCCGTGCGGCGTTATTGGCTCCCTGTCTACGACGTATCCTGCGCTCTTCGACTGGGCCTTGCGTCTCCATTTTCTTTTTGCTTTTCTTTTCTTTTATTTTTTTTTTCATTTGGACCGGTGGCCATTCGCTCCCTCTTTTTATTTCTGGTTCTTTTTGTTTTGTGGTCTTTGCAAACTTACACCTCTTATTTACCTGGATGGTCGGCAGCCTGCATCCTTTGCCCGCGTCGTTGTGCGCTTGACTTGCCTTTGTTTCTTTCACGAATCTTTGTTATGTCTGTTAGTTTGTCACACTTCCATCTTTAATTGCCTCGTTGGTATCCAGATCTCGTCTCCCCAAACGTTTCGACTGTCATCACAGGATCTTCTCAATCTCCAGCAAGCCCAGACGACTCTTCCCGATTTGCTGTACCTTTTGTCTCTTTCCGTTCGTCTCAATTTTTCGCCACAACCGAGACACGAAAGCCTTTCCCCTTGTGCGATCTCAGTCAACCAATTGCGCTCTTGTTTGCGACTCGCCTCGCACAAGGCCACGGATCTTTCCCCGAACTACAGCTTTCGTGTACATCTGCTTTTCTCCTCACGCGTCAGGCCATTTGCCGTCTCGGCTCGTTCTGATCTTGCGATCGTTAACTTGGCAACGGTATAATCTCTCTGGGAGTAAAAAAAAAACACTCCCACAAGCATATTGCGTTGGTTCAGCACCTCGGACTTGGGCGAGCGTTGCTCTTCTTATCCTGTCGCAAGCGGTGGCGTTTGGCCACCGGGAATACCTTCACGACATTTGCGCCAGAACAACGGAAAGAGTCGGGCTACGTACGTGATCTTGGGAAAGGACTAGGAACGGAAATCCACAGGCTTGGAAACCCCAAACCCGGGCCTGGAACCCACCCATCTTTTTTGGAGTGCAATAAAGCTATCCCGACCGCGGCAGGAGATGCAAACGAGCGATATCAACACCGTTTCTCGCCCCCATGGATCAGAGCAGCAAAGCAACCACGGGCAGGAAAAGGGTCAAACAGTCGGCAAAGGGCCGACAGCAACGGAGGAATTGACCACGGATAACACGTTCACAAACAGAACCGACAGCGCCACGGGAGAACTAGTAATCGACAAGGAACAGCCAGGACAGCTAGGCCATCAGGAATTAGCAGCCCCAAGTCGAGCAGTGGGAAGTAGTTTGCACAGTGGGCTTAGCATATCTGAACATATCTCTCTCCTTGTCGACGAGATACGCATAGGTGAGGAATTGGCCGACACAGCAAACATGCCGCTTCCCGAACCAGATACAGACGTACATGAGAATATTCTCGAGGTGGACGATGAAGACGGCGAGTCGGCGGAGCCACACTATGCTGCCAGCGTGTACCCCGTGATTCCAGTTCGCTCTCGGGCCGGGAGATTTGACGCAGCGACGATGTAAGTGCTTTCAAATCGATATGCGCCTCTAACTAACCGAGAAGAAACGCCACGCATCCATTGGCTCGCGAACTCACCTGCTAACTAAAGCTTCTTCAATATCATAGAAACTCTTCTTCTCGTTCTCTTTACGAAGAAGAACTCGACTACGTCATGGAAAACGGCCGCCGCTACTGCGGCGACTACATGTTCCCAAATGATGACCTGGAACAGGACCGTCTGCGCGTTGTCCATCAAGTGTTTTTGAATGTGTTTAACTTCGAGCTCACATCCGTACCGCTCCAAGATCCCAGACATATTCTTGATATTGGTACTGGGACTGGCGAGTGGGCAATCGGCATGGCCGAGCTGTATCCTACATGCGAGGTCGTTGGCGTGGACATCTCAGCTATCCAGCCCACAGCTGTGCCTCATAATGTGTTTTTTGAGATTGACGATTGTGAGGTAAGCTATCATCTGTTCTTGAATTCTATTTACCGACTACTTGTCGATCGGACAATTTTCTGACTGGCGATACCAGGTTGAATGGATGCGCCCCGAAAACACTGTGGATCTCATTCATCTGCGAGATATGGCAGGCGCCTTTGAGGATTGGGATTTCATTTTCCGCGAGGCGCTTAATTGCCTGAAGCCTGGGGGTCATATCGAAGCCCTTGACTTTCACGACCAGACAGGCCAGACACACCATTTCCTCTCTACTTTCCCCGCCGACGCCCAGATACACTCCTTTGCCCGCGCTATCGACGAAGCTTCTATCAAAGCAGGTCGGCGTCGTGGCACACACCACCTGACGGCCGATCGTCTTGAACGCTTGGGCTTCGCCGATGTCAAGATTTCCGAACACGCCATTCCGCTAAACGCCCATAACGACTCTGTCGCCAAAATGTGGCTCATTGCCTGTTTACATACGGTCGAAGCCGGCTCATTGCGCCTTCTCACAAAATACCTCGACTGGGACCCTGCTCATGCTTTGGAAGCATGCGAGGAGGTCTGCCAGGAGATCAAGGCTAAAGCCTTAGACCGCTCCGCACCACCCAACAGCCTACAGATCTCGCTTCGCGTTCTGACCGCCCGGAAACCCACCGCGGAAGAACTGGCTCATCTGAAGAGCAGCAACGAAGGAGGGCCGTCTACCGCTAACCCAAGTGTCAAGAACGGCACTGTCGTCGACGATAGCTACAGCGGATACGGAAGCACCATTGGTGCATAGTTTCACCTGCACCGGCACATTGCGGCTTTTTTGTTTTCGTTACTTCTTCATGATTGCTCATTTTCCAGGGCTGGCCTTCACTTCTCATGCCGTTCTTTGGCTTGGTTCACTTTTTTTTCATTATGCTTCTTTGTGACATATTCCTTTATCGTTTCTTTTGGTTGCTGCCGAGGACCAGGCTTTGTTTCGGTTGCCTTCATTTTGATGCTTCCTGCTCCGAACTCTGGTACTCGCTAACACGGGAGGGTCTCTTCCATCTGCTGGCTCGAGAGACTAATTTTTTTTGTTTATACCGTTGGCGACCAGCTGCTACCGCCATTCACTTTTTTTGTGCAGATACCCATTTTTCTCTTCTTCCAGAATTGGCATATCTATCTTTTGTTTATTTCTCGTACATGGTGGCGACTTGGTTTTTGGACTTTCGGACAGGATTATAGAAGGCCATTCAGAAGCAACTTGAATATCTATTTCTAAGGCCCCTTTGTATCTGCTTCGCAGCTTGAACACAGAATCTGAGAAGCCGCTGTGTAGCTACGCAAGCCTGCGAAATGAAACAAATGTACAACATACTTAACTAGGCCTTTAGAATTGAATTCGCAAACCGTCGTGGAGTAGAAGTGGCCAAGGTCTTATTTAGTAGCTCCTGAATTTAGCGGCTACCGAATGCTTTTGTTAGTGATAAGACAGCATAGCTTGGTAATGCCGCAAGTCACCGCCTTTTGTCCTTCAACTATGTTGCAGGCAGCGCTTATTGTTATCTCATTGTGGAGAGCTTCCATACCAGACCTTCTGCGCATACTCCGGGCCGCACAATCTCTCTCTTCCCTTCAGCGTCCCGGCCCGCCATCCCTACCGAAGGCCATGTGAAAGCACCCCCAATACACGCAATGGCTTTGGATCCGTCGAGCGCCTTCTCGGCCACCTCTGGGCTGGCAGACGACAATGGCCTTCCGATCTTCGATGTGCAGCGTGTGCAAATGCAATTCTCCATTGCGGCCAACTTTGTTGCTGCGCAAGTTGCCAACAACGTGCTTGTGCTTGCTCTCTCCAATGGCCGCATCCTCCGCATTGACCTGAACCGTCCTGAAGACATCGACGATATCGACCTTCCGAAACGTCCGTCCGAGATCGGCGTCATCGAGCGGCTCTTCCTCGACCCGACCGCCTCCCACCTTGTTATCTGCACATCGGCCGGCGAGTGCTACTACCTACACTCTCAATCGCGCCAGCCGAAGCCTCTCGCGCGGCTGCGCGGCGTGCCTATCCAGTCGATTGCCTGGAACCCATTGCTTCCCACGGCCTCAACCCGTGAGATCCTCATAGGTGCCGCCGACGGCAACATCTACGAATCGTTTTTGGAACCGTCCAACGACTTCTACCGCAAGGAAGACAAGTACATCAAGAGCTTGGCGCGGCTACCAGATGGTGCCATTACTGGCCTCTGGGCCGATGCCATCCCAAGCCGCTCTGACCAGTTTCGGCGCGTGCTCGTAAGCACCTCCTCGAGGCTGTTGCACTGGGTCGGGAAGATTGGCCGGGCGCAGGACGGCGGCGGCTCGGTGTACACAAAGCTTTTTGAAGCTGAGCAGCCGGTTATTCATGACCTTGCTTCCACTTCTTCCGGTGGGGTAGCTTCCACGGCCTCAACAACAGCATCTTCCTCCTCAGCACCTGGATCCTCTTTGTCGACATCTACCACCTCCCTCGTCGTGTCGCCAGACCCAGAAACAGGCAGGCCCTATGAGGCAGTAAGCCCTGATCGGGCATTCGCCTGGCTATCGTCGCATGGCGTTTACCACGGCAAGCTGCTCGTTGCTCCACCGAAACCCGAGCTCGGGACAAACGTATTTGCCGAATCGAAGCTGATCCCGCGATCCCAGCTGGTCGCTGGTTCCGATGCATCGAGCGCCGGCAGACGGCGAGTCACCAACGACCCGGTCGACACAATTGCTCTGACGCAATGGCATGTGATCAGCCTTGTGGCGGGTCGCATTGTTGCTGCAAACCGCCTGACGGGCTCTGTGGTGTACGATCAGGTGATCCTTGACCCGGGCCAAAAGGCCATTTCTCTGAGCGTAGACCTGCAAAAGAGTACTTTCTGGTTGTTCACGGCCAAGGAGATCTTCGAGATCGTTGTCCGCGATGAGGATCGCGATATCTGGAAAATCATGCTACAACTGCAACAGTTTGATGCGGCGATGCAATATGCACACAACCCAGCGCAGCGCGATGCTGTGGCAACGGCGTCTGGGGACTACCTGATTGGAAAGGGCCTCTTTGATGAGGCAGCCGGTATCTACGGCAAAAGCAGCAAACCATTCGAGGATGTGGCTCTGGCTTTGATCGACCGCAACCAACCCGATGCGTTGCGCAAGTATCTTTTGACCAAACTCAGCACTTACAAGAAGCCGGGTGTCATGCAACGGGTGATGATTGCTAGCTGGCTTGTGGAGATTTTTATGGCGAAACTCAACTCGCTGGACGACACTATTGTCACAAAAGCCGAGCTGTCGGAGACACTGGACCCGGCACAGACGCGGGAGCAGCTCGAGCTGGTTCGGGACGAATTCAAGGCATTTGCGCGTAAGCACAAGGCCGACCTGGACCGCAAAACGGTCTACGATATCATTAGCAGCCACGGCCGCGAGGAGGAACTCCTTTTTTTTGCTGATGCCATCAACGACTACAACTATGTCCTGTCGTACTGGGTGCAGCGAGAGAAGTGGTCCGAGGCACTTGCGGTGCTGAAGCGACAGACTGACGCCGATGCTTTTTACCGCTACAGCAGCGTGCTCATGACGCATGTGGCTACAGAGCTGGTCGACGTGCTGATGCGCCAGGGCAACAGCATTAATCCACGCAGTATGATACCGGCACTGCTGGACTACGACAGTTCCTTCAAGGGCCCGCTCGCGCAAAACCAAGCGATCCGCTACCTGCAGTACGTCATCAACCAGCTGCACTCGACGGACGCGGCCGTGCACAATACGATTGTGTCGATGTACGCGTCTCTTCCGTCGCGCGACGAGGCGGCACTGCTGTCGTACCTGGAGTCACAGGGCGATGAGCCTCGGTTCGACCCGGACTTTGCGCTGCGGTTGTGCATCCAGTACAAGCGCGTGCTCTCGTGTGTGCACATCTACACGAGCATGGGCCAATATGTGCAAGCCGTGGACCTGGCACTGTCGCATGATGCCGTCGAGCTGGCGTCCGTCGTTGCAGATCGGCCGATGGACAACACGGCACTCCGCAAAAAGCTCTGGTTGGCGGTGGCGCGCAAAGTCATCTCGCAGCAGTCGAACGGTGGCATCAAGGCCGCGATTGACTTTTTGAAGCGTTGTGACCTGCTCAAGATTGAGGATCTGATCCCCTTCTTCCCCGACTTTGTTGTCATCGACGATTTCAAAGAGGAGATTTGTGCCGCGCTTGAGGACTATAGTCGCGAGATTGACGGGTTGAAAAAAGAAATGGACGACAGCAGCCAGACGGCGGCCAACATCAAGGTAGACATTGCGGCACTGGACCACCGGTACGCCATTGTGGAGCCCGGTGAGAAGTGCTACGTCTGCGGGCTGCCGCTGCTAAGCCGCCAGTTCTTTGTGTTCCCCTGCCAGCACGCATTCCATTCGGACTGCTTGGGACGCCGGGTGCTGGAACAGTCGAGCCATGGCGTTGGACGTAAGATCCGCGATCTGCAGGTCCAGATCACGAAAGGCTTGGTGACGGGCCCTAAGAAGGATGCTATGGTGGCCGAGCTGGATGCGCTGGTTGCGTCTGCATGGTACGAATTTGACATATCTCTCCTTTCCCCTTTTCTGCTTTTAAATGTCGTGCTAACATTTTTGGTAGTATCTTGTGCAGCGACTTTGCCATCAAAAAGATCAGCGAGCCCTTTATTCGACCCGATGAGAACAAGAATGAGTGGGTGTTATAGCGCAGCAAGCGACGATGACTGAGGTGTGAGCCTTTGTACTGTATTAATTGTCTATATTTCAGCGCCTGATTTACATCCAATGCATTGTTTCTCAGCATTTTGATGCATGTAAATTATGTGCGCCTTCCAATCTGCTTGCATCTACATCGTCCGCCCCAGAACGATCGAAAACCAGACGTCGCGTGACAAAACAAGTCGTGCATATCAGTTTATATGTTAGACAGTGCACACTGTTGCGCCATTGGTGGCGTTCGTCATCATCAGAATCGACACCACCACGCCGTAGAGTCCCAACACCTCGGCAAAGATGAGGATCAGCACCATGCCCACGTACAGCCGCGGCTGCTGTGTACTCGCACGCACGCCCGCATCACCCACAATGCCAATGGCGAACCCGGCTGCCAATCCGCACAAGCCAACGGACAGACCGGCGGCCAGGTACATGAACCCCGTGTACAGCGCCATCTTCTCATGAACGCCATTGCTGATGATGACACTGGCGACAAGACCGTATATGCAAAGGGCCTGGGCCATGATGGCGCAGAGCGTGTTCTGCATCAGGCGATCGGGACGAAGGACGCCGGCCGTAAAGATGGCGGTGGCGGACTTGGCGGTGCCGTAGGAGGCGCCGATAACGGCAAAGACGATGGCGCAGGCCGCACCGATGGCGCCGAAAAAGGACTAAGAGACGAGGAAAATCCAGTGAGTTTCACTTCTGGGGGAGGAGTTGGCCAGCCGGGCGAGGAACTTACTGCATACACTGGACTAGAAAATCATCAAAATGGTTCACATTAGCAAGACCGAAGCAACGAGGCAAGCGTCCACGAGCCAGCATCGAATTGGGTTATTTTATATTGCTTTTGCGTATCGGCTTACCAACGGTCCAGGTTGACATAGTCAATAGAGGTGAAGTCGGCCATGGTGATGAAGTAGGCTCGATATCGTGGTCTTCAAAAGTGCTGCAAATACTACAAGATTCACGGTAGTTATCAGATGCTGCCTTGTTCCCGTCAAAGTTGTCAATGTTAAGACACCATTGAAAGGACTACACAAATTAGAGAAATTGAAATACAGGCACGATTATCTATGTAGTCGGACGATAGACAGCCCGACAACACTTCTTTCTGACGAGGTCATGGGAGTCAAATGCGTTGGACAAAGGATTTTGCATCAGGCAACAGTCAATTCGGTTCTTGCTTTCTTACATGCAGAGGCCCTATTGGCTGGTGTTGTAAGCCAATTTTTATATTCCTGGTGTGCACGTGAGAGACAACGTGCCTGACAGACAGTTGCCATGCATTGCAAGGAGGTGGACAGGGAAAGTCTGCCTTTTGTAAGGGGTCATGTATGCCAATTCAGTCTTGCTTTGTCTGGGGCAAGATCCGTGGTAACAGGACAATGGTTTCCACCTCAAAATCCAAACTTAAATGTCTTACGAGACTCCCGGCGGATGTCTCGTCTCCCTAATCGGTCCAGACAATTCGGCGAGCTTGGCTGTCTCTTAATGAGCAATGCCATTGACGGTAGCCAGCTGGCAATGGCCATCAGAACCACCAGAGGTTAGTTATATAGGAAACCAGACTGGGCCTGGATCGCCAATTATGAGCAATGTTATGACCGACAGCAACCAGACTTAAACACGCTTACGTACACACACATACACACACATAGGAAGACGAAGACTGGGAACAGAGTGAACAGAGGCAACAAGAACCATACAGAATAACGCTTTGGGGGTGACTATGCAAACCTGAAGATCCTTAGTTGGGGGGCATCTAGAGAATACCAAAAGAACAGATGGAAACACAGCTCGCAACGCTGAATGGCCGGAGGTAATTATAGCTTAGCAAACTATTGTGTGCACTGTCCACGGATGGGTTGGCACTGCATTGCCTGCGTTGAAGCACGGAGAAACGGGCTGCGCCCCAAGTCTCGGTCTCTTGTTTCGTTGGGGTCTCTATTTTTGCACTTCTCTAGCGTTTTGCCACTGATGCTCTTTGTGTGGTCGCGGATGCTGCGTGATGATCCGCCGGCCGCGTGCCAGATTTCAGATCCGGAACCAGGGGCGCTGGATGTGAAGAGCGGCCTGGCGGCATTCCTGGCTGTGTGTTTTGCTGTTTTGGCGGCTCTACACACTCGTGTTTCAGGACAGCGCCAGCACGGCTCGACCACTTGCGTGCTAGTGCCTACCTCACGACCGCGCGTCCATTGTGGCGGTATAGTGTACTCGAGAAACGACACTCAGAATTGCATAAGAGTGACCAAGACGACCATTCGGGGCCAAGACCAGCCAGCCAAGCGGCCAGTGAGGCCAAGAGAGGCTGGGCCAAGCCAACAGCCAAGCAGCCAAGAGGCTAAGCCGCCGCGAAGGCAAGCCCAAGAAAGAAATAAAAAAGATGACAAGAAGAGAAGACGAGAAGATTAGGAATCATAAGGATGAAGCGAAGGAGAGCGAAGGGGACGAACGGACGGGTGCAAACAACATTGGTGCAATTGGCGACAGACCACAAGACGACAAAAAATCAGGGTTGATTGCACGGCGCTGTACCAAGAGCAGGTCAAGAAGTGCCTACACGCTTGGCCCAATGCTCACTCTTCGGTTTAATGTCCTGTTGTGAGCCCTTCAGTGTTGCTGCCGTTCATGGATTGTATCTGTTTGTGACACCCAAGCCTTCTGTTTAGCCATTGCTCTTGCCCTGCCATGTACAGATTGGCCCCTTCCTGCCCTGCGACATGACACTTGTAAGAGATCCGGTCCCCCCGTGCCGGAGCCTTGCTGCAAGTGCAGCCGCCCACCCTTTTGTACCCCAGTCCGTGCAAGCATCGTCGCAAACAGGACATGCCCCCAACTTCGTCGTGCGTAGCAGTGGTTTCGTCGTTTGTTTGCACCCTGCCGACTGTACACTCACTGGACAGGAAAATAGTTCGTGGCACCAACGGGCAGGTGCTAGGCCGTTGGCACTGGGCATGCGCGTGCATCGCTCTTGCCCTCCTGGGTGACGCAAGCGCTCAGTCATCAGTGGCATCGTGAGGGCCACTTCCTTCCCAATGTACACGCATGTACACGCATACACCTGCGTACCCAAGGCTGCTCTTGCCCCCCGTGCCCCGTTTAAACCGACAGAGCCGTCTATTTTTGCATTCTGTTCTGTGTTCTGTGCCAGTCTTCTGACAATTCATTTTTTGCGTGTCTCGGTCGTTCTTGCCATAAGAACCAGTCGTTCGCCTGCCAAGTCCGCATACACGTCTTGCGGGCCCATGGACAAGACCTTTCAAGCCCAATACAATTCCAAGACACTTGGCCGTTTGCTCTTTCTGCACATCAATCTGCTTTAATTGCTCCTCTCGTCCCCCTTTTTTTTCTCTCTTAATACCCTCACTTTGGCCTACAACCCTACATCCTCTCTCCTTCGTGAGCCTCTACTTTCGCGGTTCCAGACGGCCTGGGCAGATCACATACTTCCGTTCTCTGCCCTGCTCTCGCGTTGGCCTCCTTCTATTGTTTCCTATTTAGTACTATCACGGCTCCTCTCTCGCGATCGGCTGCTGTGTAGTCTCGCACTCTTTTGCTCCAGTTTGGCCTTCCTCTCCCCTTCTCACCCGATTTCCTTTTGTTTTATATTTAGTAGCCATACTTATATCCGTTTCCTTCCTCTCCATCTACTGTCACTCGTCGATCGATCTCTCAAAACAGCAAATCCCACCCTTCGTGTATAGAGCTGCTTTCCATCCTCGCCATTTACTATCATATAGTTACAGCATCCTACAGTCATTCCATAACCATAGAGTCTTGAACTCTTGACCTCCTCTTCTTTCCTTTTTACTCTTTTACCGAGACACTTGTCTCGACGCCAATCACATCTCGCACCATGAAGTCGCCAACAACATTGGCCGTTCTGGCCTCTGCCTTAATAGCTTCAACCAACGCGCTGGTCCTGCAAAAACGGACTGATGGTCCTCCTAGAGTCATCAGTATGGCTACCGAGCGAAGACGAGTCGACAATCCGGTGCAACGAGACCGGTTACGACGCAGGTCGGCCCCCGTGGAAGTCAGTCTAGACAACGAAGAGACTCTTTACTTTGTGAATGTCAGCTTGGGAACACCAGCACAGTCTCTCCGCCTTCATATCGACACCGGCAGTAGCGACCTGTGGGTAAATACACCCAGCTCGACGCTGTGCAAGCAGGCATCGCAACCCTGTGCCTTTGCTGGCACATACACGGCCAACTCCTCCTCAACATACGGCTACGTGGGGAGCTACTTCACAATCTCCTACGTCGACGGCTCGGGAGCCAGCGGCGATTATGTGACAGACAAGGTCAGCATCGGCACAAACGGGTCTACAGCCCTCTCGAAAATGCAGTTTGGTGTCGGCTACACCAGCTCGTCCTCGCAGGGTATCCTGGGTATCGGTTACGCAATCAACGAGGTCCAGGTGGGCCGCGCAGGCAAGGCGACCTATCCCAATCTACCAGCCCAGATGGTTGCAGACGGCATCATCCGGAGCAACTCCTACAGTCTATGGTTGAACGACTTGGACGCAGATACGGGCAGCATCCTGTTTGGTGGCGTTGACACCGCACAGTATTCTGGTTCCCTTCACACTCTGCCCGTTCAGAAGCAGGCAGGCGCCTTCTCGGAGTTCCTCGTGACCTTGACGGGCCTCCAGCTTGGCTCGACCACCCTCGCCAGCAACATGGCTCTGGCCGTGCTCTTAGATTCGGGCTCGTCACTCACATACCTTCCCGACTCCATAGTGCAGACCATCTTCAACCAGGTCGGTGCCACGTACGACGCTTCCGAGGGTGCCGCCTATGTGCCCTGCTCCCTGGCCGACAAAGCCAACTCAAGCGTGACGTTTGAATTCTCGAGCCCGTCGATCACGGTGGGTATTGATGAGCTGGTGCTTGACTTGGTCACGGCTAGTGGCAAGCGTCCGACCTTCCGGAACGGCCAGACTGCCTGCCTGTTTGGCATCGCCCCTGCCGGCACCGGAACA